CATGTCTGATATACGCCGGCAGCCAACTGTGTGTGTGTGTGTGTGTGTGTGTGTGTGTGTGTGTGTGTGTGTGTGTGTGTGTGTGTGTGTGTGTGTGTTCATTCATTTGAGAGTTGTGCAACAAAAATCAAGGGAGTCAAACATGTTTTTGTTTGCAACTGTATTCAGATTTAAGACTTTTTAAAACCAATTAATAAATAATCTTGTCACTTCTTTTTCAAAAGTTCATTGTGAGATGATATTTACATCATAAATTAAATAAGAAACTAAAGACATTCAACACATTTTTTATAAGTTTGTATCCTTTTTTTTTTTTAACCCTTCAGGCCGCAATGACAAATATAAAAGAAAAATCTCTTTGAGAACAATAATGTGGAATTTAATTGAGGGATTTGAGGATTAAAACGCATACTCTTCATAACTGTATGCTAGTAAGCGTGGTAACAGCTAAGTGAGGTTAAAACAGGAGGAGAATTATACTCTGATATGTAAAACATGTCTTGAGATCCCAACATTAACAGGGGAAGAGGAGATTACAAATGCGTTTTTAAATTGTGCGTTTTCTCTTTGCACTCTGAGGGCATTTCACATAAACATTAAAACAGTTTCCAATTGAGCTGCGTATTTCAAATGTTTACATTTCAGAAGTATCCATTTATTTCAGTTTTCCCACCCTAATTATTTAAATGTAATGTTGGTGTAATCCAACAGCAGATCTAATTTTATCCGGCCAATAAAGATTTGAGTTTGATAGAAAATAATGTCAAATACAAGAAACAGCCCACTGACAAATAAATAGCAGGAAACATTGACATCTTACAATAGTGACTCTCTCGCCTTTCCCATGATGCACTTCTTGTGTCACACATTATGTTCTGTGCAATGGAGTTTTCAGGTGAAGGGGCAATGGAACAACACGTTTTTTTTTTACTGCCTTTGGAAATCGTCTCCTGGACAGATTAACTCACATGGCCAATGGTGCGTGAGACGTGAGAACAGAAATGCTGGCTTGATGTTTAACCAGACTCAAAGCTTGGGTAGCCTTAGCAGGAAGGGGAACTCAGTTCACCAATCAAATAACACTATATTCTTATGTAATGGAGCAAACCTCTGCCCCTGTGAAGTATCAGGCCAGTTCATCAACACAAGTCCATATCGTCCTTCATACAAAGGCTGACATATTGTGCTGAACGAGCAACCAAGGGCGCCTCAACCCAGTGCAGGTAACTCTTATTATTTTTCTTAAATTGTCCAGACATTTGTATCAAGCACCTGTTGTGTTTGCGTGTGCTTAAAGCACCACCTTCCTGAACATCCTCACCTAGAGAACAGGATGTCCCTGCCCCAGATATCATCAGCTCCCGTTGGTAATGATAACTGAGGTGGCCTTGTGTCCCTGCATCTGCTCGGCCTGCATCCTCACATGGGACGCCACATCGTACTGGACTCCTCCACAGGCCAGGCCCGAGTAACTCCGCAGGTTCTCCGGGTCGTACAGGTGCTCCAGGGAGTATCCAGTCAAAGCATAGGCTGCTTGCCTGTCCAGTGGCTGCCTGTCCTGGCCCTGATAGAGCAGCGGGCTCCCCTGGGACTGTGGAGGGTGGGGGGACATATCCGTCTGCATGTAGTCTTTGGTGAGGCCCAGGCCCGACCTGGGGATCCCATCAGAGCTGGGACTGCTGAGACGGGACATAGACGCAGGACTGGTTGTGTTTTCGTCATTGTCGTGCGGTCCGAGCACTTTGACACTGTCACGATGATGTAGGCGTTCAGAAGGGGGGTCGATGCTGGGGGCTCCCGGGCCGCGGCACACCACGCTGGGCATGTTCAGCTGGGAGTGGTGTGAGAGTGAGGAGGTGAAGCACGGACTGTGAGATTTGGCGAGCCCTGAGACGTCCAGCGGCGCCTTGTGTTGCTGCAGGCGGCTCTCTTCTTCTTTGATCATTTGCTGTGTGGCTCGGATCAGGGTCTCCATCTTGCTGGGCTCTCGAGGGTTTGCCCGGAAGTGGTCACCATGGTAGCGCTCACCTGAATCACTGGTGGACCCGCCTCCATCGGGTGAACTCACCACACTGTCTTCATCCCAGTGGCCCCTTCCTGTAAGAAGAATGAAATTAATGAATTACATTGTGTTAATAAGTAATTACAATGTCTTTCTGCGTACACAAAGTGTGTCAAAACTACTTGCATGATCTCTTTCCTATACTTGTTCTCATATATTTTAAGTACTAGTGGCTAAAACCACAAGTTGCATGTTTAATGTGTGAAGTTCTACTTTAGAACTATGGTCTGTTAGACTGTCTTGGCAGAGGCACGGTGGGGGTTGTTTCGTTGTTTGAGGATGTGAAATGTGAAATAACTTGGCTTTCAATTGCAGGCAATTTTGGAACAGATGGTAGCAATCGGCACACTGGCAAGAAACGGCGTAAACAACTTAGCATGTCCCATAATAACATTTCGAAAACAGCTACTAGGAGAAGTAAGGCCAGGGCTATTTTCAGGGACAGATGGTTGTGGTCTCAACCCTAACACCTCACCGTGGATGGCTCCATGGTAGGATGTGATTTCGTAGCCATCGCTGTTCTCCATGGACGATTTTGGCAGCGAGAGCACAGAGCGAGTGGCATCCCACCACACCTCTCTTCCCGACTGAGGGTTTCCGAGGAAGTAGCGGCCACTCTGGCATCGCGCTCGGTCACAGGTGGAGGAGTGAGGATGCGTTTGGGCATGTGCGATATCGTCCTCTGATAGACCCAGGCCGTAGCACAGGGAGCCGGACTCTGGGTACAGTCGGTAGGCGCAAGATGCCTCCGCAGGCTCACTGGGATCCAGCAGCTGTGGAGATGCAGAGTCTGTCAGCGGGCTCCCGCCCCACTGGCTGTCTGGATCTGACTCCGAACGCTCTGGATTGAAAGCTGAAAACTGCTAAGAGAAAAACAAACAATGGGTTTTCAGACCTTCTTGCTTTTTAATTGAGCCTGAACCAAGTTTCCTTTCCGGATTTAGCTCTATGTAAAACATACTGTTAATTACCTGTGGGTAGGGTGACACTCTGGCTTTGGCCTTTGCCTGGGTGAGACGTGACTTGGTGCTCTTCCTGTCTTCACTGTGATTGTCAGCGTATGGGAAGGCTGGCTTGGTGGGGCTCATTTGGTCCAAAGACAGCTGCATTCCTTTATACTCAGTATCCCTTTTGACACAAACAAAATATACGTTTGGGATACAATTCAAAAGCAGAACCCATATTTATCCAGGTTGTGACTTTTTAGCAATGGTTCCAGCTCAAGGAATGTCGGGTCAGTCAACCACTTTGGTTGGGTCAGAAATATCTCAACAACTATGTGATGGATTGGCATCGAATTTAGTGAAAACAATCATGATCCCCCTCTTTATAAGTTGTAATACCTTTGATGTCTGAGCACCTTACTTATCTCTACTTTGTGTTTAGTACTAATATGCAAATGTCATCATGCTGATACTAAACTAAGATCGTAAACTGGTTGATTGTTGAGTACCTTGATCACAGACACTTTGAATGTTGTTGAGGAAGCCATACTTTTATCTTTTCACCTTTCCCTCCATTTCTCCTTGATCATATTGCAAACCTTAAGGCTAGAGGTTTTCCATATAATAAGTGCACCGCCTTTCTTTCTTTCTTTTACAGTTTCTGTGGCAGTGTTGCACCAAGTGACATAATCAGTAATACGTCTGATGCAGACGTCTTGGTCAATATTGAGCGTAGATAAGTACACAGACTTATTTTACAAACACACATTGCATACCCCGAGTGATGTGAAGACTATGAGAAGTATAAACAACATTCAAGATAAATTCAACCCTCCCACTTCTGGAGAAAATAACAGACTCTACGAACAAAGTTAATCATTATTTCGTACCATACAACCATTGACAGAAGCAGAGTAGAAGACAGTGTTAGTAAATGGGCACACGCTCTGCACTGGACCTGGAAGCATACTACAGTTGCAAGAAAAAGTATGTGAACCCTTTGGAACTACCTGGATTTCTGCATAAATTGGTCATAAAATATGTTCTGATCTTCATCTAAGTCACAACAATAGACAAACACAGTCTGCTTAAGCTAAAACCACACAAACAATTATATTTTTTTATGTTTTTATTGAACACACCATGTAAACATTCACAGTGCAGGGTGCAAAAAGTATGTGAACCTTTGGATTTAATAACTGGTTGACCCTCCTTTGGCAGCAATAACCTCAACCAAACGTTTCCTAACGTTTCATATCAGACCTGCATATCAGACCTGAGTTTTGGACCATTCCTCTTTACAACACTGTTTCAGTTCAGCAATATTCTTGGGATGTCTGGTGTGAATCGCTCTCTTGACGTCATGCCACAGCATCTGAATTGGGTTGAGGTCAGGACTCTGACTGGGCCACTCCAGAAGGCCTATTTTCTTCTGTTGAAGCCATTCTGTTGTTGATTTACTTCTGTGCTTTGGGTCGTTGTCCTGTTGCATCACCCATCTTCTGTTGAGCTTCAATTGGTGGACAGATGGCCTTAAGTTCTCCAGCAAAATGTCTTGATAAACTTGAGAATTCATTTTTCCGTCGATGATGGCAATCTGTCCAGGCCCTGAGGCAGCAAAGCAGCCCCAAACCATGATGCTCCCTCCACCATACTTCACAGTTGGGATGAGGTTTTGATGTTGGTGTGCTGTGCCTTTTTTTCTCCACACATAGCGTTGTGTGTTCCTTCCAAACAACTCAACTTTGGTTTCATCTGTCCATAGAATATTTTGCCAGTAGTGCTGTGGAACATCCAGGTGCTCTTTTGCAAACTTAAAACGTGCAGCCATGTTTTTTCTGGACAGCAGTGGCTTCCTCCATTTTATGACCAACTTATGCAGAAATCCAGGTAATTCCAAAGGGTTCACATACTTTTTCTTGCAACTGTATATAAAACATTGCATAATGTCGTTTTTTTTTTACTTGTATATGTGCACACAGCTTGTACACCATTTCTGACATTTGAAACCACTGTACTGTGGCTGAACTCAAGTGTTGCTGTCGAGGGAGTGAAAAGGCTCCTGTGTCAAGTGTTCAGCAAACATGAGCCTATTCTTAACTTATCACATCAACAGTATGTAATAGCAGCTGCCTGGCATTTTAAACCCTGTGGCCCATCCCTGACCCTGCACAGCCAGCCTCTTTAATATGACTCTAAATATGACCCATTCTTTATGTACAACACCTTGGGGGAAAGGCTGTGTTTGGATAGCCAGTACACAGTGTGAGTGTTATTTGCTCATGCAGGTATAGTTGCGGTGGCTGGTTCTGCATCCTATCTGTGCCCTGGATGACTTATGTCTGAGCCAATAATGTTGGGCCTTTGTGCAAACTCAGCTGTGTTAGCCGAATTCCACCTCAGGGTCAATGTCAGAGCACCTCATGTCTGATATACGCCAGCAGCCAACCTCCAAACATGATTTATTAATGGATTTTTGTTGGGTTAAAATGCTGTCGGGGCTAGGTGATTGAAATGCTGTTTGTGTTTTTAATATAGGAGATCTTTTTATGTTGCACGTGAGCTTTTGGATACTTCCTTCTTTGAGCTAATTATTCAATTAGAAATTCACTGTCATTTTAATATAGTTACTTGTTTTCTCCTGGCTGCATTGGAGAAATCAATACTTAGAGTGCAGCCATATGCATGCACACACGTACAGAGACTCACACAAACACCCAGATACACACACGCACGCACACACCCGGTAAGTCCACATGTGGAACACAACCACACTTAACAAGGAAAATCCAACATGTGCTACAGCTAATAGATAGCTATTGATTCTTAGTTCACCATTTGATTGATTTTGCTTTCCTTAGACTGCAGATCGATGGTGACAGTAGAGGTTTTTTGATGGGGTTGAACCCTGATATTTGTCTTGTTGTCTCAAAGGGCCTTAGTGTGCTTCTTGCTCTCATAACACACAACTGGCTGAGCCCTACAGCCACAGTATTTGGTGGATTTGTACAGAGAGGCTACAGAGAGATAAACACAAGGATTTCTCCATGAGACAAAGATCCATCCTATCATAGAGTGAGCTTCAAGCATGGATCACAAGAGCGTATGATATGATTTTACTTAATCTAGTTAAATAATCAATGCTCCTCCCTCTGTAAATACCATTAAATATGCAGCTGCTTTTAGCCCGGCATAGCCCCTTAAACCTTGTGTCACTATGTTTACGTAGCTGTGATTTTAGGGATTTCAGTCTAAATTGTGATGAATGTTACAATTTGATATCTGCATTTTACATGATTGCAAATGTAAGATTCAGAGAGATATCACGAGATATACCTTTTCATTGTACAAACGTCTCAAGAAAGTATAAGAAATATATATGTTTTTCTTAAATCAATCCGATTCTGAACAGTTGCTCTTTTAAGGAAAGCTTGATTTTAGATTTGGAATATTAAATGAGACTTACGTGAGGACGTAGTTAACGCTGACGATACAATGGGGTCTTGAGGATCGGCTGTTGTGGACGATTGTGGCGTAACTCTGGACCCACACCCAGCCGCCGTGCTTGGCCAGGAAACGATAATACTTAGTGGTGACTTGGCCTTTTACCAGCACTGAAGGAGATAAAAGAATCAGACAGAAGACAGAGATTAATGTTAACAATGTGTGTGAGTGATTGTCTGCACATGGTGGCTGCAGCAGGTTGCCTGAGCAGTTACTTTTACAAGAGAAGGTCAGCCAGCCTGTTGTAAAGCATAATGTAAGGCAGGATTGTAACTCACATAGGTGGTGTGCACAGCGGAGGTGGAAGATGTCACAGCCGTGGACGTGATGGTACAACGTTTTCTCTATCAGGTCCTGGGGCTCATACCCTGTCAGCTCTGCCACCCTGGAGAGAAATTAACCAGTTGTTTTTAAAATATGCAGGGATTGATCTCGGCTTGTTCTGTTTCACTTCACGTGTTATTACAGGCAAACATTTTAGTTTACCAGAGAATCAATTTAACTCTCCTAAAATAAAAAATGTAAATGCTATACTCAAATCAAGAACATTGGATTAGAAAGAGACCTTTAAAGAAACACTGTCACATAAAGGACATTGACTTGTGTACAGTACCTGGAGTCCAGGAAGATGAGCTTCATGTCTAAACTGGCTCTGAACATAAACATGTTGCTGTGCAGTTTGATCTCCGTTACAGCGCTCGGCGGCAGGGAGTGACCCACAGCCACCAGGCCCACGTTCTGGTAGCAGCCCTCAAAAGGGGACATGTCCAAACTGTACTGCCGGATCTTCAGGTAGCCACTGCAGTGAATCACCTGTGGAGCAGATAGACAAAAAGAGAAAAAGGTCAATGTATAAGAAAACCTTTCAAAGCCCCCTTTTTACAGTGTAGTTATTATATAGCATGAGTAACACTGCCGCTCAACACAAATATGGATTTTTTTTTTGAAATACATTAAAGGAAATTAAAAATCATTAATTTTTATTTTTTGTGTCACATTTTTACATATATTTTTTTAATGTAAACTTAAATGCAATTCATAATTTTGTGTATTTTTTAATGTCACAAGCCAGTGACAAAGCTTCATTGCCTACCTTGTATCCACCACTGGTGAGGCCTGCGTTTCTTTTTGCCAGCACACATTTCATCCGCAAAAAAAACGATCTCTCCGCTTCATATTCTAAAGGAAATAAACATGTTTAGCTCGGCAATTACAAAATAAGGGTCAGCTCAGGAAATCTCATAGGAATAAATAGATATGCGTATTTAAAAAACGAAGTCCCTCTATACCACTAAAGAGGCTACGCATTTGAATAATATGCTATACAAAAACACATACATTATATGTGTTACGTACAAAAATAAATAGATGCATTGAAATAAATAAAGTGATTTTACTTTTGAAAAACGCCTCCTGCAGGAATACTAAAATGCATTTCCATACGATGCAAGAGACGCACATTGCACATTTGCATCTGTGTTACATTGTTGTAATACGAGACACATCCGTTGTATTTGTTATCACCATATGCTCGTTCTAGACACCGTACATTTTAATTTAATTGCAAATGGACGACATGCGTTTGGGAAGCTTAAGAGAGGAAATGTATTTTACCTTGGACGAAATGTGAGTGATATGGCTGATGTGGCGTCAGCACGGCTGTCATCTCGTCGTGGTCGGCAGGATGGACATATTCATAAATACTGTTCCCAGTCAACTCTACCTGTTGAGAGTAACTCATGTAATTAACAGGTAAACACTAGGCGGTATTTTTTTATTCAACGCGATGTCTCCGTTTTTAAATTAAAGTAGCTGTAGAGGCTGTAGGCTAATAATCATAGAAATGCAAAATAAAAATATGATAGATAAATAAATCTGATCGTACAAACGGACCTGAGAGAGTCCTAAATGGACCGACGCTGTCTCTGAAATGTACATTATTTTCCCATCTGGAGCCACAACGAAGATAAATCCGTCCAGCGTCTGAAAAAAACAAAAAAACAACAGGCCACAATTACCTTTTTATTATTTTTGCATGACCATATCAGTCTCTCGCCATTATAAACAGCACATTACGCTGGTAATTATAGCCTCACATACCTGCAGTAAGTGAGCTCCCAGCTCTCGTCCAATATTGTCCGCAGATCTTGTTCGACTTGTGTGACCCCAAGCCTCCCCCAAACCTGGAGAGTCAAATAACGCTTTTTAGCTTCTAAATGTGTCATTATAATGAAATGGAACATTTGTTTTTATTCAGATAATTAAAAAATAAGTATTTTGTTATTGGTTATCATAACTAAAAATGTGTTCAAGCTACTATAAAATAAAGGAGTCTCGTTCTGTTTCACACACACACACATACATCCACACAGCCACACACACCCTGATGCCAGAGGCGTGTCTGGTAAAACGGTGTATTTAGTGTAAAAGCATTTACAGTGTAAATGTGTCTTTCACATGTTGTGCAGACATGAACCTCGATAATCTGTTGATGTTTACAAGGTGCACAGTCGATGTGTCTAATTATAATAATTTATAATTTGTCAGCATTCAGGATTATTACTGTTGTATTAGTATAATCAAAACAAATTATAAATTAAATGTAATGCCTGCCTGAATTGAATTCAACCACAAATCTGACCAACCTTTAGATTTTATTTTATCCAATAAATGCCCCAGTGATGGCCGTTATTTCCAGTTTAAGTAGATAATGTAAGTAACTGTTTCTTATTGAAATTCATTCAGTTTTACGAGAAATCTCACGGAGCTCGGATATCGTCAATAAATTCGGTGCTGCTGTGTATTGGAAATGGAAAACGGTCTCCACTGTAGTTTAAAACAAACCCCGAAAAAATGATAGGTTTTTAGTAGCTTTTTAGTTTCTTATTTTAATCTGCCTTAGATATGTATACATGCTAGTTTCGTTTTATATATTATGACACCAAAATATGAATGTGTGTTAAATGGCGGCAGAAACGGTGGCTTCTGATTAGATATAGGCCTATGGGAGATCATTAGTGTTTTTTTCTTATCCAAGAGAGAGGCTGTGTAATATTGTGTGTGTGCCTCCTGCTTACATGGCTTTAGGTGATTAGGAGCCATGCAGTTTTTTTGTTAAATAATTGGTACATCTTGTTCTCAGTCACGCAGTCAGAGGAGCCTGCAGAGAGCTGTATAAAAGATGGTGGCAGACCGTCTCATTGAGACACACTGAATAAAAAACGATCATAATCCATCTGTAAAGACTCCCTGCAGATCACTATAATGTTTCTTTAATATTTCTTTATGGCTTAAAGTCGGTAGGCCTATGTTAGCGTGTGCATAGGTAAATGTATCCTATTCATTTTTTATTTGTATATTTTAATAATATCTACTGCATTGTTAATTATGACTAAAGGACATTCTGATATTTTTTATAATTATAGTATTTTAGTATTTAGTAGTTACACTACTTTATTTAGAGTAACACGCCTCAACTAAAATATTTGCATGATGTAGGAAAGGCCTACATTGTAACACATTATAATAATAGTCGTTCATTGCTGATTTTATATAAAATAGCGTATGGTTTTATTTCCGTATGGACCATAATTCTTCTTATCATTTTCTTTTATTTCGCTTAGCTCACCCTGAGGAAAAACAATTCTCATCTTCAGGTAACTCGTCGTCAGTCTTATGATGGAGGCTTTGTCCAGCTGAGAGGTGATGGCCGACGGTAAAGGCAACATTTTAGCCAGTTCGTAAAATTCACTGTTCTCCTTTTCCCGTCTAGTCCTTGCGGCCGTTTTAGATTTCTCCTTCATTTCGGCGCCTTTTCACGGTATCCTTCCTTATCTGAGTCGGTGGTCATTCAAATCAGTAGCTTCACTGATTCCTCGTCGCTTTGATCCTTTTCATTGCAAAATTGTGTCAGATAAAAGAAAGCCGGAGTTTTTATATAAACTGATGAATCCAAAAATAATGTGTGGGTATCCCCGGTACTCCTGGTTATACTTCAACTGGTTGTAGGTAAAGCTCCACGGTGCTGTGAGATCTCATCCATGACCTGCAAAACACAAACAGGAAGAAAAGAATATTGCTATATCCTCCATTGCATGTTGATCTTCTGAGGCCCACGTCACCACGTGTATACACTTGCACTGGCCATGATGTAAGTGTCTCTGTTATTTTATTGTGAGCCTGATGCAGGCCTGCACATCAGATTGAGCTGACTCTGAATAACAGCGTTACAGATGAATTCACACATCAATCATTCATCAAAACAAAATCTGATTTGTGATGATTATTGAAGAATAATATCACATGGCTTTAAGCAGGTGCATCACCACCAAACGCAGCAATTACATAAATACAACAATGTAATAATAACAATTACAGCAAAAAAAACATCATTGCAAAATTGAGACAATAAACTAAAACAATTCTGCATATAATACATTAAATTGTGATTGAATAAGCTATAAATAAATATTAAAACAACTTTTTACAATCTTTTTTGTTGTCAAAAACACGTCTTAAAAATGGTTGAAGGGCACACTGCAAACGTGTCCAACTCAAGTTATTTTAATAACAAAGCCTGCCTTTAATTTTTCTCAAGTAATATAAGGTAAAATCAGCATTTTTATGTTTCTTCAGCAATGCTAAGACAATCCATCATAGCTGAATACTGCAGCAGTGTCGAGGAAATGTTGCACAGTTCCTGGAACGTGTAGCTGCCTTGGGAAAAATAACAGTGACATAATTACTCCTCACCTCGATTTTTTTCACTTGTTTTAAGAAAATAACGCTTTTTTTTACATCCAATAAAGGGTGACAGACTTGTTGAGAGAGAGATATTTGCAGTAGGCTATTCCTACCTTCGCTGAGTAACACTATATTTTCCTACATCTGGATCGATGTGGCCTTAGTGGCAGCCTGCTGGGAATTTCACCTGTCCTGAACCGGGTTCACCAGTCGTCCCAGTTAAGTTTGGTCTCAGCTCCTCCTGGATTTCCACCTGGAAAGGCGAACGGGCCGTGCGCTGCATACACCTCTCCAAATTATAAGGACGCGCAACGAGTGGCATTCGTGCTCAACAAGCCTCCTCTATCCTCAACTATCTCAATGTCCCTCTCTGGAGCTGCTCGGGACCCGCCCACCGTGTGCCCACCTCGCTCTCATTGGACGAAAGCGCTGAAAGTCAGTTCGTGATTGGACCCTTACCGTGGGCGTCACCTTGGTACGGAAAGGTATGCGCGGCACTTGTCCGTGCCCAAACTGAGTTTAGATGTGATCTTGTTGTGTTTTTGTCATTAGCGTGGAGATCACGGATCAAGCAGAAATAAATAGATAAATCCGCATAAAATAGCACAGCAAGGGAATGTTTGGCAGGTAATGGGCTCACTAAAGGCAGCACAGACATTTAGCTGGCGATTATTGGAGGGGAAATATCCAGAATAAACCTACAATCCTTTTTATGATAGCCTAAATAAAGCATAATTTCTCAATTAAATGTATTTCAAATTGGGCAATTAGTTTTCTTGTATTTAATATGACGTGTTTACCTAAATAGACATGATTCTGAGTGCAATAATTTGTAATCAAGACTAAAGTGTTTTGAAACTGAAGATGTTTTACTCCTGGTGCTGTTGTCATAATAAACAGGCCTTGAATCCTCCCCTGAAACCAATGCCTTTATATATGTTCTCCATTATTTTTACTTAACTGTACATGACCGGCATAACAATGTTTTAACACGCTAAATAATTCACTTGTTGTCTGGTGGACAAACGTTTTTTGCTGCATTTAACGGGTTAGTTGTTAGTTATTCTTAAACACGAGAAGCTATCAAAAGGCTCTTAAATGCATTGCATTTAATATTCTGAGGTTGTTTTTTTTTTGCGCAATATTAACTCATCAAACCCAGCAACTAACTCTATTTTGGAGCAGGGGTTTTCTTCTTTAAAAAAACCCAAATGCAAACGTTTTACACCCGTTTGACAGAGTATAGTGCACTGCGTCCAGGGCTCATGCTATAGTTTGATGTCCGTCAAACACGTTTATCTGAGGATTAATTTCCATGGTGTGAATCAGATGAGAGCGCCGCGGCGCATGTAGTTTTTTAATTAGGTACCGGGTGCTCAGATGGAGGAGGAGGTGGGGGGGTAGGGGGGTTAGGCCAGCGGGCGCGGTGAAGGGGGCGCGGACGCATGGCGGTGAGCTCATTACGCACATAATTAGCCCTTAAATTGATGCTGCATCCTGCCATAATTGGAGATTCTCCTGCTGCCTTGTATTAGATATTACTCTGTTTCTTCATTGTGTGTGTGAGTGTGTGTGGGTGTGTGTGGACAGATAGCTGTGTGTCTATATAAATGGCTTCTGCTGGACTCAAAATTAACCCTACCAGGCTATACCGGTTCTATTATTTTCTCATTTCTGACAGATAAAAACATCAAATTGGCAATTAGAGGACAGCCCCAGATGCTGACTGGTTCTCAGGTCCTCCCTTTAAAGCTAACAACATATTACTGCATCCTTCACATCTGATGTTTCTGCGACAGGAATTCCTCTCTCAAGTCTTTGAAGGTAACACAAGCTCCTCGACATCTCTCAATGTGACGAATCCCCTCATCACTGGATCTCATTTCCTTCCTATGCTTTACACGCCACCCATAGGTCAAAGGTCACCGTGGTTTACTCCATTCGTAGATCCATCTCTGTGCAAATGATTTTGATTCCATATTTCTTTAAAAACAATCAGCTCTCTTGTCGCATTTGAGGCTCTAAAACCTCGTATGCAAACAAAACAGTCACAGATCAGGCTTAAGGCAGTTTGCTTTCATCAGTGCCCCCTCTGCAGAGACTGACAGCCTGTCATGGATCGGGAAGTTCTCCGAGGGTATGAGCTCCGAGCGGCTGGTAGAAGATTTACCCTGCCCGGACATCCTGTTAATGCCCCACCGCAGGCTGCCACCACAGGGGGGCTCGCTTTGCTGTCCTTCCAACCCCTCCCTCCCTAGCCACCCGAGTCTCACCCGTCTTTCCATTTTTATTGTGTTTTTACAAATCACGCTTCACTGTGGGAAGCCGTGTCTGAAATTCTCCCCAGCATGAAAAAAAAGCGATGAGGAGGGCAGGTTAGAGAAGGTTATTTAGAGAAAGGATTCGAGGAAAAGCTTTGGAGGAGGTGAGAGGATGAAGGTGTCAGCGGTGCTCAATGAGGGACATGGTGCATCATTTCCTCTAATGAGCTCTCTTAATGAGTTTCTGTTTCATGGTCTGGGTCAGTGATTGAGCATGGTTCCCTTGAGCAAGGCACTTAAAGGTCTTTTTAAAAGGAACATATTTTCTCACTTACCTCTAGTAGCATAATCAGACTGGTTAAATGTTCAAGATTATCTTTCTTCAATAATTGACTTTTCCAAGATACACAGGGTCAACAAAAAAACAATAAAATAATGAGGACATCACATTACAATGAGACATGAAGCTAGCTTAAATCAGTGTCACTGAGGATTTTAGATGTTTTCTTGAACTTGAAAAAGAGCTCAAAATCGGACACAGAACCAGAGATTTGTTTTTACTTCACATATTTTTCTTCCATGTCAAAACCTGACACCTACATTACTCACCATTTACTCAACTGCTTACAGCTCGGTTACAGATTATGCTGTGTTATGCTAGTGTAGCCGGTGGCTGCATGCTTCAGGCAGGGATTAGCAGCGAGCCACACATCTGGTAAAATTACTTTTTATAACTTCACACCACCAGATTATTTTTAAGCCTTCCAAAACTTAACTACACCTTAAAAGTTGTATAGTTTACTCAGGATACACACCCCCATGATCACCAGGATGACCATGTTACTGTACTGCCCCCATGTCTTAATTGTGCTGCCATTTTTTTTGTAGCTAGGCAAACACTGTCATGGAGATCCACCTATGTATTTATAACCTCTTCTCAGATTCATCTTTCTCTCAATTTCCTCTCTTAAATGCTTGCAATATCTTCAGGATGGAGAAATAATGCGCTGGAACAGATTCAAATAACCTGATTAAATATAATATCATATATACTGGGAATAGGAATAGTTTGAAGAGATATAGGCCTGCGTTACAAATGGTGTACTTTTTCTTTTATGTTCTCCAGCTGCAGCCCTCACAAAGTGTTTACTGTCGCATGCACTATGCATACGACTGGGAACTAGTACTTCGTAACACATTGCACCATGAAATGTGACCCTCCTGCTCATATAACCCCTGCAAAGGATTTTGGATGTGCATGTTTCTCGCATGCTGCAAAATGTGACCAGATGCATACTGTACATATTGCATTTCATATATACAACAAGATATTGGGACATACTAAAGCTTTCCCTGGCATACTATATAATAAGTTAGTATGGGTATTGGAACGCACAGCTAGTGTATGGAGGAGAAGCGTCTGTATTGAAAGTTCTGAAAATATTGTGGAAAAAGCAGAGAAGACAGATGAAAAACAGACAATTTTAAATGCGTTAGTAAAAGATTCCACAGAATGAGTAAAAAAGCAATGAGACTGAGGCACCATGTCGCGTCACACTCTGTGCTCTGAGATTGAAACGGTCGGGCATATGTAAACAGGCTGCATGTTTGACCAAGATTTGCCAGTTGTGTTTTCTGTAAGCTATTACTCACTCTTTGTGTTGTGTTTTCCCCTAAAAGACGGAAATATTATTTAGTACTCCCCACCTTCTTTAGCTGTTGGTTTTGAACCAGCCACTTTATTTAGAGAGTGATGGTTGGACATTTTAGAATGTGTGATTTTTCTCCCATTAACAGTGACTCTTTCCAATCAATTCCCGCTCTCTGTGTCTCTTCCTGCCAGGGCCCTTCACTGAGAGCCCATCTGCTGTGTGCAAGCGTTAATTAACCACACTGCCATTTCCTCTGTGTGCGCTGCGTTTGAAGCTGCTTGGAGTACACCAGTCAGCCCCGCAAGTTCATCAAAATGCTAATTCAGCCCAAATTAAAGTTGTGATTAACATTACACAGTTTCCTGTGCTGACAAATTGATCCTTCCTTGAGGTCTCTCTTTCTTTCTCTCTCTTTGGGTGATGAGTGTCTGGGGAGGGTAAGACTTTTATCTTGGGTGTTCTTATTATCATTGCCAAAGTGGAAGAAAAACAGAAACGGCTCATAAGTGCAGCTAATGGTGAGAGAGGAAGATTTGTGTCTTAATGCTAACATTTTTCTACATTCATATAAGTCATAAAGCCTTCCATTCTCGACTAGAAGAAAAAATGGATTCCCTTTACCTTTCCACGTTTTTTCAATACTTCATATGCATATCAATCCATAATTGTTTGTGTGCAATGCATGCACTGTATACCTGTGCTCCTGCATTGTCTCAGTGTGTACATATGTGAGGAACCAATAAGCTGCAGCGCTGATGCTGTGACACAGTTCTGACTGTATTTACTCTGCTCTCCAGCTGCCTCTGAACGTCCCAGACACTGATAGGTTCTTTTATTTACCTGATTCCAATTGTATTTTCTCCCTTACTTTTGTAACTGCTCCTATTTGTTTTACTTTTTACCACCTTGCATTTGACCTCAATCACCTTGAGTTTTACACATTCACACATATCTGCCGTCTACAAGCAGTAAAATGTTACGCACACTATAAATGTGAAGTGCTGAAGGACACTATAATGGCATCTCTTATAGTATAGCTGCATTAATTCATGAGAGAAATCAGGAATCCTTATGTCTTCCTTTGCTACAGAGGCGGAGCCGTATGTATTTTTCTTTTTTAACAACAGCAGCTTGACATTGCCGATTGGTAAATGACAGGAACGCTTATTTAGGTACATACTGTAGTCTGACTCTCACACACACACGGATAAACTTCTGGTGGTAATGAAAGCCCCTGGCGTTCATCACTCTGTCTTAAGCAGTGGTTATTGAGGCATTAAATATGTCTACACAGGGCTCAGTGAAAGGCTTCCAGATCAGTGTTCTCCTCTGAGGGGGCTCTGTTTGCATACAGACAGGTTGGGGGATTGGGAACGTGCACCGAATGGAGCCTGGGAGTCG